TCCCCTTCTCCTCTTCCCATGGAGGTGAGCCTGATGCGGCTCCTCCTCCTCTCTCTTCTCCTCCTGCTTCTAACAAAATCAACAAGCTCCCAAAACTCCAACGACTTGAATATCACTCTCACCTCCTTCCTCAAAAAACTCTCAACCAATCCCCGAATTGATCAGGAACTTGGCTGGACTCCTGCCTCCGATCCCTGCCGTGACCGTTGGAAAGGCATCGCCTGCAACAAAGATGGAAAATCTGTCCGTGCTTTAGTTCTTGAATCGCTCAAACTCGATGGTTCCATTGATGGTACTCTTCTCTCCCATCTCTGCAACTCTGGCCCTCTCTCAATACTGAGTCTCCAGGACAATGCCCTCAATCGTGGCCTACCTTCAGAAATCTCTAGCTGCACCAGATTGACCCATGTTTATCTCAGCAATAATCGCCTCTCAGGTAGCCTTCCATCTTCTCTACCGAGCTTAAAGAGCCTGAAGAGGCTTGAGATCTCCCACAACAACTTCTCTGGCAATATTCCGTCGAATATGTCGAGGATTTCAGGCATCTTAACGTTTCTTTCCAATAATAATCACTTTACTGGTAGCATACCCGATTTCAGCATGAACTTCATGGATGAATTCGATGTTTCTTTCAATCAATTCTCTGGTTCTGTGCCTGCGAATTCGGAAAAATTCCCTGTTTCGAGATTTGTTGGAAATCCTGGCCTATGTGGCAAACCACTTAGCGTGGCATGCCCTCCTCCTCCTTCTCCACCTCCTCTTATTCTTTCTTCTCCTCTTCCACCATCATCTCCTTCCAGTCACAAATCCAAGAGGACATTAATGAGCAAAGTTGTCATGGTCTCAGGCTATGTTCTCCTTGCTCTGGTCATTATTCTGTTCTTGGCGTACAGATGTCTCAAGAAAAAGAAGAATAAGAATGGTCCCCTTTATAAGGGAGAAATAAAGGAGAAGAAGATTGCAGAGAGCAGTGAGAAGTCAGGGAATCCCTCCCGGTCGGAGTACTCGATATCATCGGCGGCTCATAGCTCTGAAGGGGTTTCGACATCTCTTGTTATGCTGAAGAAGGATGGATGTAAAGATCTGAAATTTGAGGAACTTCTGAGAGCTCCGGCGGAATTGCTCGGAAAGGGGAGGTTCGGGAGTCTGTACAAGGTGGTGATCAATGGAGGTGCTGAGTATGCGGTGAAGAGGATAAAAGATTGGAGCTTGTCAGGGGATGAATTTAAGAACAAGATTATGAAGATGGATCAGGCAAGACATCCAAATGTTCTTCCAATTACAGCCTTCTATTGCTCCAAGCAGGAGAAGCTTGTGGTCTATGACTTTCAGAAGAATGGAAGCCTTTACAGACTCCTCCATGGTATGGATTTCAAATTAGAAAAAAACATGCTTTTAATAACAGCATATTTTCAAGATTTCATTATTTAATTTAATATTATAGGTTATACTCTATAAATAATTTCATATTTTCTCAAAAAAATAATAATAATAATAATAATGAAGATTTTTTAAATCCACACATTTATGATTTTCGAGTTAACTAAATTCTATTTAATGTTGAACGAACAGTTCATGCAGAATATGTGCAATAATAAGGATAAATATGCAGGCAAAGTCATCATTTTCAAGAATAAATCCATACCAAAAACACATGTTGCAATTACATGTTTTTTTGGGACGTTTGCATACATATATAAAACCCATTTCCTATCTATTTATATATCTAACTCCTAAACTTTATTCTTTACATTTATATCACCCAAGCTTTTCATATCACATAAAAAAATCTTTATTTTAACTTAAAAAAATGAAATCCACCATTCCATGCATAGATAACCTCATATGTATGCATTAATTAGGGTGTATTAAGGGTAGCTTGTACGTTTCAAGATAAACAGCTTATCCTAAAACGGTACCATGTCATTTAGTGTAAAAATGAAACCGCGTTTTCGGATAAGCGAGCAAAATATATGATCCAAACGGTACCATGGCATTTTCAAAAATGTCTCGCACTTATAAGCTGCCCCAAATGGGTCATAAATATAAAAATTTAGGCATTAGACCCTTAAATACATGAGAATTGAGTGGCACATGTATAAATCTTGCTTCTCTTTGTTAAAGTAGCGAGAAAATATTATGTGCGATCATTTGTATGTAAGAATTAGGATTGTACACCTCGAATAAACTCCGAATATATTCTAACCCAACATACTAATAATCAGCTCGTTTTCTCCCTCAGCATATCTATATAATAGAAAGCCAATTGGCTAAAAATTAAGAACGAAAATGCCGTCCGAATTAATATGTTAATTCAGTATTAAAATAATTCTTATCTGCATAAGAATATGTCCAAGCATTTGAACAAAGATAAATCATAATATTAAAATACCATCAAGATTATATATATATATATATTTATTTATTTATATATTAATTACTATTAACTTAATTATGCTTTATTTATTTATATATTAATTACTATTAACTTAATTATGCAGTATAACTAAATCCATGATTGATGACACAGATAATAAAGAAAGCCGGCCATTCACATGGAAAAGCCGCCTGAACGTCGCCGCCGGCATCTCCGCCGGCCTTTCGTTCATGCACCGATCACTTGCCAACTCCGGCGCTGCTACTACTGCCGGCCACGGCAACCTCAAATGTTCCAACATCCTCCTATCCTCCACCATGGATCCCCTCATAAGTGAATACGGCCTCACCGCTCTCCCCACCCACCGCCACGCCGGAAAAACCCAACCTTTTTCGCCCACCAACGACGTCTATGACTTGGGGGTCATCTTCCTCGAGCTTCTAACAGGGAAGCCGAGTCATGGCTTCAATTTGGCACAGTGGGTTCATTCGGTGGTGCGGGAGGAATGGACGGTGGAGGTTTTCGATAAGTCGTTGCTCAGTGATGAGGAGATGGTGGAGGAGACGATGATGAGGCTGCTTCAGGTGGCGCTGCAGTGCATGAACGGCGATGTGAATGCACGGCCGAGTATGGCGGAGGTGGCGGCGAATGTCGCCGGAATGATGGAGTGAGGGTAAAGAAAGAAGGTGATATCGGTTCGGTTGTTGGTTCATGTAAGGAATTATGTGTGATTTTTAAGGGAAATGTAATGCTGCTACTCATAAATAAATTCAACAATGATAAATTTGTTCTTTATGGTACTCTTTAATTTGCATGATTATGATACATGGAATGGAATGTTGCAGTTTAATTTGGTAATGTTTTTTAAGGAAATAAAAAAATAAAGTTGCACTTTATTTCATTTCATACAAAACTTCTTTTGTATAATGATTTATTATATCACATGAAATGTGTTTAATAATGTGTTACAATTGTGGGTGTTATGAGTATTATTTGATTGGAAATATTGGAATCTATAATGTTGACAACAACATGATATAACATATTTTGGGAGCTTAAAAAATGTTATCTAATTATTGGTTTAGCTAATTAAAGATTAGATAAGTCAAAAGGATTCAAGGTTTAGTGAGAATGTTGACATATGGATTGCTCAAATATGTGATTGATTAGCCCTCAAACATCCACCAAACTAGTTTTAGTTGAACCCTACATGGCCACATATCACCTAATCTATTGCATACAATTATTATTGCATGCAAGATAAGAATTAACTTAGGGCAACTTGATATAGGGTTAAATAAAGAAATGAAAGAAAACATATCTTATTTGATTAATTTGGTTTAGTTTTCAAGTTATAGGCTTGATTATTAATGTCAATTTTCACAAATTTTTATTTTTTTTTATTGTTGGTTATCATACTAGACTAATGTTTTCAAATATTAAATTGATAAGGTTTATGAATTGTGAGTAAATAAGTGACAAAATACCAATTTATAACTATTGTTTTATCTACATGCCAAAATTATGAATTCTAACAAAGATTGTGAAAGATATATTAGTATTCATACTTTTTATTTAAGTTGGATATATTTAAATTTGTTATTAAATTTATTTATATTTTAATTTATCCAAATTGAATTGATTTAGTTTAATTTGAAAAATTGTTTGGCTAGTTTGGTTTTTAAAAAGTTCACAACATAAATCATTACTTGATTTAGGTGTTATGTAAGTCGAACTATACAAACTCATCCAATGCACACGACAACTACCACATGATCTCTTTGGACACACTTCAAGTAGTATTATAAGCACCTTCAAGAATGGATGCACGCGCATGTTATTATTATACAATCCCAATGAAAATCCAACATTATAACTTCCTAATGAAATTCTTCTATCAGCGGTGTCTCTAGAGATATAAAGAGAGCTTAATAATGATCTTCGTTTATAAATAAACGTCCAAATTGCCAATTGTATCAAACTGCCAACTTTAAAATATTGACGTTGTTTATAAAGAAAGGTTCATAGGCTAACCACATTCATGCAAAGTCTCGTTACCTTTCACAAAAAAATCTCCCTTTCCATCCCTCTAAACTCAACCCTATACTTGAAAGAAATTTTCTAAGTTCATTGTACATCAATTCTCTAAGAAACTCTCAACAATTTAACTTCTTTCATCTTCTTATGCTTTGCATTTGATTCCTTTATTCATAAAATATGGACTTAGTCATTTTTGTAATGGATTGTTGAATAGCTCCAATGTTCTACTATTTAAATATTAAATGATTAAAAAGTAATTAATATCATTTTATTTATTCATAAGTAAATAACATCAAGGCTCATCTTTCCTTCTAGTTTGTTTCCATGATGTTTTTAATTAAAAGTTTGAATTTAATCATAATCTTATGAGTTAGAAGCACAAGACTTACTTATTTTTGAAGTTGGCTGTAAATATTTATTTATTCATGATATGACTGAGTAATGAATTTAATATATATGTTAACAGTTCATCTCTTACTGTCTTATCTTTGGGCACAGACTTATTCTGTCATCTTTGCCATATAATTGCTATTATCTAAGCCAAATAGCTTATTCAAGAAAATCAAATCCTATAATTGCATATATGTTTAATGTTTCACTTTTCTTTTCTTTCTTTTTTTTTTAAGAAATATTTCTCATACTATCTACTCTTATTAAAAGAATGAGGGGATTTGCATACATATCACATAATTTTATATTTACATATTCAAACAAAATTTAATTTTTATTTATAGAATATTATAGTGTTCCAATGAAATTAAAATGTACATATAAAAAATTGTATTGCTTTTTAAAAAAAGTTAATATTAGTGATTTTTGTGATGTGATGTTACAAATTTATTCGTTGATAGGCCATTTACAAATTTTCATCATTCGACACCAAGGCACGAATCTATGGGCATTTTTTTTAACATAAATGCTCAATTTGAAATTAAAAATAATCTAGAACTCTAATATCAACAAACTTCTAATCAAACTGACCGACCCGATGAGACGGATAGAATGACACCAAAGTTGGTCCAATCCAAGTCTAACCCAATTTGGGAAGCTTTCGATGCCCGATTGGAAGGTTAAATAAATTTCAAATTTGACAAGTTTATGGTCAAATCGAGCATCTCGATGAGACAAATCCAACAAGTCGATGATCACTCAATTCCAAAATCTCTAAGACATCGTCTGATTGAAGGGACCTCTATGGGCAATCCGACGGAGTGGAATAGATTCTTTTCTTATTTGTTGGGATGTGTCTCCCAAACTATAAATAGAACTCTACCCCATTCATGAAAGGGACATGAGCCTTGAACCAGATGAAGAACTAAATTGTAGTGTTGCCTAACACCGAAGTCCCAATGAATGCCACCCACTCCTGTAGTCGCTGATCATCATTGGCCACAGCTCGACATAAGCCATCAACCTCTGCTTGCCAGCTGTCATTGACCGCTATCGATCGCCCCCCGCTCATCTCAACAAAGCCCCTTATGGAATCATGAAGTGCGCTACAGAATCTCAACGTGCATTGTAGAGTAACGAAGCACCATGCTGAGTAACAATCACTGTTGTGTAGTAATGAAACATCCTATAAAGTGACGCACATCGAAGATGGTGTGATAACACATTCTTGACGACGGTGCAATAATTCCCCGAAGATGGTGCAATGTGCACCCTACATATAGTGTAGCAAAACACCTCAAAGATTTCGTAATGACACTCCCAACTTTAGCCCTTGTAGGATACAAACGTTATCACAACTCATCACTATGATTTAAGCGAGCAACTACAAACTATTTGATCAATAACTCATGTAGCTCTTAACTATAGCATCTGTGGCATGCAGAGGTTATCAAACCTAACCACCACAGCCTCAAAGACTAATTACAACCTACGTGACTCACAGCTACTGCAGCTTCTTATTACAACATATGTGGCCCACCGCACTCCTAAAGCAACCATCAACGCACACAACCAACTACTTCTATAGCTTTCAATTATATCAACTACTTCTATGGCTTTCAATTATATCAACTACTTCTATGGCTTTCAATTATGGCCTCTATGATAAGCTAGCACTACAACCACCATCTTAAACATTCATGGTGGACTATTGCTTCCATAACAACCAACTATGGCTCTTACGGCTCACTACTGCTATTATTATTGAATTACTATTGTACATCAATTTTGTAATTTCATCTTCCCTAACAAAGAAAAACAATGAGCTCGTGCATTTACCATTACTTAGTTGATTTTTTCGATGGGTTAGATACGATGATTTTTCTCTTTTTTCAAGTTTTTATTATTTCAACATTTATATAAGTGTGTGTTGGATTTTCATGCAATACTAAATAATTACTTTTTTCACTTTTTTCAAATTTTTATTATCTCAACATTTATATAAGTGTGCGTTGAATTTTCATGCAATACTAAATAAAATGTTAAATAATCACCCTACTGTTGTAAATTTTTACACCCATCAATAGTCTTATAAATAAATATCAAAATATAAATGTCCGGTACATAAAATTTATGAATTATTTAACATACTTTAAATTCCTCAAGAAAATAAAAGCATAAAATTTTACTTATTTAAATTAAATTAAAAAATATGTTAATCACGACAACTTCATATTTATAACAAAATTCTTAGATATCCGATATCTAAATTTTAATATATATATATATATATTGGATGCACAATTTTATAACGATTCTATGATATGTATAAATAAATATTTGAATAATAATAATAATCAGAAACCGGAGCAAGCAGGCGAGTCAGCAACTGGATCTCTTGAGTTCCGTCCACGCGTAAAGCAACATTCTAGTGATTAGGTACCACGGTCATCCATAAAACCTAAAATAAGCATTTTTAATGCAAAAGATAAGCTCGAAGATCACAAGAAGCGATAGAGATTCTAGCATCACAGCTGCCCTCGATTCCTGCTCCCTTCTTCGTCTTCATCTGCAGAGCAGCTTCTTCGCGGATTCAGAGATTCTCACTCCGAGTTCCATCTTCTCTGCTAGTCCACCATTCCGTGAGAAAGTATCAGCGAGAAGCGATTTAGGGCTTTTCGTATACAAAATGGGCGCCATGAAGGCCGCCATTGGAGATGCATTCATCACATTCGTATGGATGATGTGCATCTCCACCGCCGGCGCCTTCACAACCATCGTCTCCTCCGCTTTTAATCTTCATGGGGTGGTTGCCAGCCTCGGTATCACCACGCTCTTCATCGCCATCACCGTCTTCGTCTTCAATATCATCTCTGAAGTTCTGGGGGGCGCCAGCTTCAACCCTACTGGAAACGCAGCCTTCTATGCTGCAGGGATCAGCAGTGACTCTCTCTTCTCCATGGCCCTCCGCTTCCCCGCACAGGTCCTTCCTTTTCGTTACTTCTAATAAAAATTTGATTTTTTTTTTATCTTAAAAATTCCTTTTTTGATAGGCCGCCGGAGCGGTGGGAGGTGCGCTGGCAATCGCGGAGCTCATGCCATCGCAGTACAAGCACACGTTGATCGGGCCGTCGGTGAAGGTGGATCTACACACGGGGGCAATTGCGGAAGGGGTGTTGACTTTCCTGATCACATTGGCCGTCTTGTGCATAATGATCAAGGGGCCTGGAGGTTCAGTAATCAAGACATTGACACTTTCTGTTGCTACTGTGGCATTGATTGTTGCAGGATCTGGGTACACTGGGCCATCAATGAATCCTGTCAACGTGAGTTTACTTTTTTCATTAGTTTGATCTGTTTTTAGATTTAATATGTGGATTTGCAAAACTATTTCTGCTCAAATGCATAGCTTTGGTGTTGTAAATAAAGTTTGTAATCATGAGCTGAATCAATATTTGTAACCTATCAGTGGCCTAGAGTTAGTTGCATTCAATGAGACCATCAAAATGCTTGTTTCGAAAGTAATTATCTGAGGGAAAAAAATGAAAGAAAGGAAGCATTTAATCTCTAGATTTTCTATATCAATGCCTTGATCTGCATTTCTGTTTGTGTTCTGTGTACAGACATTTGATCTTAATACTAATTATAGCATGAAAGCAATATGTTAGTACATTTGGTATGTGTTCCGAACTATTTGTGGGATACATTATCAAATTTATGTACAAAGATTAGTGGAATCTATTGGCCATTATAATAAATGCAACATGGTTCTCAACTTATGGGATACGCCATAAAAATATACTCCATTTGTTGTAAAATTATATTTCTGATTTTAATGTTTCATTGTAGCTTTTGGGTTTTACGATGGCTGTGTAAAAATGGTCTGTACTTCGTGTTAGTTTAAACTAATGGTACTTTGAAATGCCGGATTCTATAAGCATGCCATTGAACTTTAGAGATGATTGCAATTTGTGTATTTTGTGGAATTTTATACTCCACTGCCATTTTTAAATGTTTATTGCATCAATTGTGTTGTTTATCTTGGCTAATGTTTAACATTATGTTATATTTTTTTTGTGATTTGCTTTCACTGACCACTGAAAGTGAAATTGGTTTTCATTTTGATATTATTCAACTTATTATAGATAAACTAATGTCAATGAAGGATCAACTAAATATTTGAAGTCTGTTGATCAAGTGTTTTGATTTGCTTTAATTTCTTAATGCTTGCAATCTAGTTCTTGCTTCATTTAGAATTGTTTCCAAGTTTGAGCCAAGCATAATTGAATATAGGGGCATTTACGGACATACCACCCAATTCCTTTGTATTTACATATCTAAGCATTGAATTTAGGGGCATTTACGGACATACCACATAATTCCTTTGTATTTACATATCTAACATATATACTTTGTTTTTTACATTTACACTTCCCAAATCTTTCATATCACATCAAAATTACCACTGTTTTAACTTTTCAAAAGTTAAATTCATCTTTTCATGCATTGGTAAGGGAGTATGTATATAAAAATTGAAGCTTTCATGTTAAAAATGTAAATATATAGGACTTAAGTGTTATGCATGCAAATCTTCCTTAAATTTAGTTCCTCTTGCTTGCTTGTTTATGTGCTGATGTAGCAGATCATTATGATGTACGTATGCACTTGGTATTTTAACTATATGCTTATGATTAAGCTTTCTCAAGTAGAATCTATATTAATTTATGCAATGCGACATTTGATGTCTGAATATAATGAAGATTCATCAGCAAATCATGTATCTAATCATAATTAATCAGCCTAATTAGTCTTTTTCAGAATGGAAAGGTGAATTGTGCTAATTAATAATTATTTTTCCTGTTAAGTTTTTTTAAGTGCTAGTTTATCATACTAATTATTGATTAATATTTGTTGATCGGAACCATATTCATTCGAACCATGACAGGCATACGGGTGGGCCTATATCGACAATCGGCACAACACATGGGAGCAGTTTTATGTATATTGGATCTGCCCCTTCATTGGTGCCATTCTTGCCGCTTGGGTTTTCCGATTCCTATTCCCTCCGCCTTCGCCGGAATCCAAGAAGGAGAAAAAAGCTTGAAAAAAGAACTTGGAATTACTGATACAGAGAAACTAGCTTTTCAAACTTCTGCAACAGGCTTTAAGCCTCTGGGTAATTTGTCCATTTGTTGTGAACTTTAGTGCAATATTTTGAATGGATTAGCTTTCTCCATACCTCACATTTGTGTCTTTTTTCTTTATTTTTAATAAAGTTGTTGTTGTGATACATCTTTATCGGCTAAATTAGCCATTTTTTATTAATAATGGTGGGGAGAAATGGAGTGGTAAAGTGAAAAGGGAAAGGTTGTTTGTCTGTTTCTCTTTTCTTCTGTGGGTCTTCTCAGCTCAAATCTTTCAAGAGAGAAGAAAGATTACTTATATTAAATCAAATCTTAAGAAAACAAATATATTACATGCTCTACCCAGAAATGTTGCAAAGGAATCATTTTTATAGTTGGATCTTATTTTATACCTTGAAATGTTGCCTGTAATCTCTTTAGTTTCTGGCTATGATTGTGAAGCACAATTTTTTTGGGAAATTTATATACATATCCCATTGTTTTTATACATTTACATATAAAACCAAAGCTTTTATATTTATGCATATAACACTTGGGTTGATGTTGTGTTGAAGATTATAGTTTTATGCGTGTAAATATGAAAGTTAATGGGTTAGATATGTAAATAAAGAAGATTTGTGCTGAGCCCCCTCCTCTTTTTTTCTCTCTCTTTTCATTCTTCCCTGTTTTCAAACTCTTTAGTCATTTATATGCTTGTGTATGATCACTTTAACAGTGCTTAGCAACTTTTGAGCATTATAATGATCGGTTGATCATGTATTGTATATATAGGGCATTTACATACATGGCACGGAATTCTTTTGTATGTAACTATCTCACAACCTAAACTTTAATATTTTAAGAGTGAAATTTAGTTTTCATGCATAGGTTTAAAATGCCAACGATATGTAACTACGTAAGAATTGTGTGCTAAATTTGGGCTTTTACATATGTACCACCCATTTCCAATATATTTACATATCTAACATCTAAAATTTATATTTTACATTTATATCAGCCAAATCTTTCATAACATGAAAAATACCACCATTTTAACTTTTTAAAGTGTAATATCCCTTTTCATGCATGGGTAAGATGACTTGTATGTGAAAACTGAAGTTTAGATGTTACATGTGTAAATTCATAAAAATCTTAGTGATATGTATGTAAATCATCCTTTTTTAAAGAATATATATATATAT